CCCCGCTGCCCGCCCCAAGTCCACCGCATTGGGCGCCTGGAAGGAGACTGAGCGTCCCTGCGTTAAATTTAAGACTCGGTCAAAAACACGTCCCTTGTGTATTTACACAGCCCAGCAGCGTCCCGATGGTGGCTCTTTATACGGATAGTTGATACAAATATTCGAAAAGGCCTAATGCAACTAAATTTGTTGAGGAAAAATGAATTTTCTGTATTTTGAGGAAGTGATTTTAAGGAAAATCATTAAAGTCACAGGCTGATGAAACAGGAAGCAAAGGGAGGGCGAGGGATGAGGAACCCGGCTCAGGCCACCTCCCTCCTGCGGAGCAGGGGCTCGGTCCCGCCCCCGGCCCCTGCTGCCCTACCAACTACCTACCTACCTGAGGGAGCCTACGGTCACCAACCTGCCTCCCCTGTTGCCAGGTTTGTGGGCCGCATCAACGTCTACAGCGACCTGAACGACCCCGTGGTGAGGTGAGGAGACGTGCTGCTCCCGGGCAAGTTCCTCTCGTGTTAAATTGCAAGCGGATTCCTCTGCTGAGGAGAGAATTTCCCCGGGCGCCGAGGGTGGGGCTCCTCCTGTGTACGCGTCTAGGCGTGCCGGCGTCTCACTGGCGGAGCGCGACCCCCCGTGATCGTGCTGGGGCCCCTCCCGGCGGCAGAAGGCCTTTCATAGCGAGCGGACTGTGCGTCTTCAGCTGTGGGGTCGGAGGGCTTCCGACGGGGAGGCCGTTCACTGGTTCATCGTCACCCCTGGGACACGGTCTTGGCTCTAGACGTCGGGGAATACGAGGGCCTGTCACGGGGTCACTTCCCCTGGGGACGGGGGGCCCTGCCTCTGGGGACGCCCACCCGTGCATCTCGGCCGCCTGCTCGGCCTCACCTGACGCAGGTGGCCGACTCGGAGCCCGGGACGAGCCGGGTCAGGACCAGCGCGGCCTGTGCTGCGCGCACTTCCCGGCCGGGCGCCCTGGGTCTGGACGTCGTCCGTCGCTCTGCACGGAGCGGCCTGGCTTTCACTCAGCTTGGAAGTTGCGCCTTTTCCGTAAAGCCCGCTCATTAGGGGAGCTGTTTTTCTTCGAGTTTAAGTCTCCAAATTGTCCCTGACCTGGTGTTACCTTGTGTGTCAGAGAAAACCCTTGCCCAGAAGCAGAAAAGAGCTCAGGGGAAATGGCTGCGGAGTAAGCGGTCACTGGACCACGAGTCCCTGGGGCTGACCTCCTCGAGCGGCTCTCGAAATTACCTGTTTCAGGGAGACAGGCTGGTGCTCCCCGAGCATGTTTTTAATCACCGTTTGCGGCAGCAGACCGGCAGGTGTGTCCCAGAATCTACGGAGGCTTTGCTTCGGTCTTTGTTAAATATGTATCGTTGTAAATACCTAGTTACTTTGGAGAAATGACCTGGGTTTCTGTGTCTCTGATCGTGTTTGAACAAGAGAGAGTAGATTTAGGTACATTCACGTGCCCTGAAGTCGGCCTGCAGACCCTCCTAGTTTGGTATTTGGACGGAGTTGCAGGCTGAGCCCCTCGCAGAGGTCGTTAATAACACACTTAGTATTTGGTGCTTATTCTGGCTTAGCTTTTTAAGTATTTCTACAGTTCAGCAGACTTTCAGTGTATGGGTGTCTGAGATGTTCATACGTTTGTGGTGTGGACAGTTACGAATTCTAGGTCCAACTTCTCCATCTTTTCAGAGTAATATTTCTTCGTTCACCCGTCCAAACTAGAAGCAGCGCACTTTCTTCCCCAATATTTGTTTCTTTAAAAAAAAATTCTCTTAATAACCAGGTTTTGCAGGGGTGGGAGGGGTAATTAGGTTTATTTATTTGTTTATTATTTTAATGGCAGTACTGGGGATTGAACCCAGGACCTCGTGCATGCTAAGCACGCGCTCTACCACTGAGCTGTCCCCTCCCCTGCAAAGTACGTTTTTAAGTAAATTATTCTTAGACTGCCCAGAAGTACTTTATAAGAGGGCCATTTGTTTTCATAAAGTCAGGAGGCTGACAGCTCTTGTAACACGCAGACACCAAGTGCGCAGCCGGACGCTGTGTCTCGCGTGGCTGTCAGGCCGGGGACACACGTGGGGGCCGGGGGCAGGTCGCAGCAGGCCAGGTGTGTCCCCGCCAGCACGCCTCGCTGAGCAGCCCCTTCTCGTCTTCAGAGGGGCCTGGTCCTGCGCTGCGCTGTCTGAGTGCTGAAGGCACGCTGAGTTTGTAACGTGCAGGAGGCGCCCGCTCTCTGCGTACACTGACAGAGAAGGCGAACCTTTGAAAGTACTTGCAGCTCGTCCCTCTCCCCTCCAGGACGTGGGGAGGGCGCTGCGATAACACAGTTAGTGCATCTGGATTGTGCTGTTTTTTCAACTGCACGTTTATGTTTTTAATTTTATTACTTTTTTGTTTTAAGGTTTTGTTTTGGGGGTTAGTAAGGTTTCTTTTGTTTGTTTGTTTTAATGGAGGCACTGGGGGCGCAGCGCAGGACCTGGTGTGTGCTAAGCACGCGCTCTACTGCTGAGCTCTACCCACCCCCTGAATTCTGCTTCTTATTTCTTCTTCTTGGGAGATGAGAAGAAGTTATCACTCAGTCAGCAAAGGGGCCACCGGACCACGAGCCCCCATAGCAGAGACTCACGGTTGAGTCTCAACGTCTTGTTCCTGCCCGACTTCCCGCTGGAGCAGCCGTGTGTGGACTGTTCCAGGCTTCAGGCCACCTGCCTTCAGGGGGCCTGGTGGGCTTGGTGGCAGTGCGTGTAAAGGTCTCCCAGCCTCGGTTCTACAGGTGTGACCGTGTCACACAGAACTCCCGGGGAACGTGGTGGAGACCACCGAAGGAGTCACAGAGACCGCCCTTCCGCTTTGCCAGAGCCCATGGGGTGTTTGGTGCGGGGCCGCAGGCGTGCAGCCTGTTGGGAGTGGATTTCTGGGCTGGTCCGTCAGGTGACACTTCTGACCAGGGCTGGGTACTACTGACGGCACAGTGCAGGGACCCCACATTGGCCTTCCACCCTCACTGTCGCAGGTGGAATGGGGTTAAAGCTTTGGGGTGCGGCTCGGGGGCTGGGTTGGAGGCTTGGGGTGCGGCTCAGGGGCTGTGGGAGAGGGTGAGGCTGGCCCAGCAAAGCTGACTGCAGGAATCTTCCAGCAGACGGGTTCTTACCGTCCCGCGGGCAGAGACCCCGTGCTTTACGTGGACCCGGTTAACGTTCACATCCAAACACAAGCAAATCCACGCTGAGACAGTTTCCTCCTAAGCGAAGTCTGCAAAGCCCCCTTGTGGTGCAGACGTGCTGTCTCCATTGCTCTGTTTCTGGTCGTCCTTGTCTCTGCAGGCCATTAGGATCGGAAAACTTGCTTCTTAGAGGAGCCACGCTAAAGAACACCGAGAAAATCTTCGGTAAGTGTTTTAATTAGTGAATTATTAATAATAGCTTCTAAAATTAAGGGCCATTAAGCAGTTAAAATCCGTAGACCGGCCGCGAGAGCTTCGCTTCGTGCTTGGAGGTCCTGTGGGCCTTGTGGCAGCAGCCACGCTGCCTCCCAGGAAAGCCAGCACCGAGGTGTGGCCACGCCCCGGGAGGCGGTGGCGTCTGAGGGTGCGCCTGCTCGCACATCATGTGCCTGTGGTTTTTGACCCAAACGTGAACTCAGTCCGTGAGAGAGTCCACACGGCCTTGTTCTGCAGGAAACGTCTTCCATGGCTGTTTCTTTGCTCGTGTCTCCCTCCCCTTTCTGTTGGGTTAACGCTTATGTTTTCACCGAAACAACTTGTAAACAGACAAATGTGTCCTGTTGTTGGAAACCCAGTATATCTGCATCTGAACTTTAAAAAAAGGTACAGATTGCTCCCCATGCAGGGGGAAGGTGTTTCTTTGGTCTAAAGAACCCGATGCGACTCTTCCTGAGCAGCTGGCTCACCTGGAGGAGTGTGCAGTGTGGTTCGTTTTGCCCATTTCCGTTTCCGCTGCCCCGCACGTGCCTCGCCACGCAAGGCCAGGCGGCTGTGTTGCTCTGACGCCCGCTCTCCGCCTCCAGGTGTTGCTGTCTATACAGGCATGGAGACCAAGATGGCCCTGAATTACCAGTCAAAGTCCCAGAAGCGATCTGCCGTGGAAAAGTAAGGCTCGGTACCCCGCGGTGGCTTTCGGCTGTCGCAGACCCCCGTGGATGTGAGGCCGCTCTCTCCCTGGCCTCGTGAGCCGCTCCCGCGTGGCGTCTGGGGGACAGCAGAGCTGATTACTCAGGCCGACCGTCTTCCTTTGTGGGCCTGTCAGCGGCCACACACCCTCAGCCCACGTCTGCAGGCTCCCTCGTGTGGGCTCCCAGAGTCCCGGTCCAGAGTCAGATACAGGTGCCCAGTGGCTCCTCCCACTATTTCTTAAAAAAGTAAAAATTCGGTCACTTTATTTGTGTATTTGTTTTTAGTGGGGGCACTGGGGCTGACCCCGTGCCTGCTCAGCCCGCGCTCCCCCCCGAGCTGTGTGTCCCCCACCCCGGGTCACTTTTACCTCTGGGGTTTGGTGGAAACCACGTATTCTGACGCGGCTTTACCGAGGAAGGCCTCAGCAGAGGGAGCCGTTTTCTTATCGCTGAACGAGAAGAGCCTTATGCTGACAAGACAGGGACGGAGCCGAGTTTGTAAAGAACGCAGCTGGGGTTTTGTCCGCTTTGCCTCTTGTTAACACGCATCCTGACTCGAGGCGGCGCTGCGTCTTCACACAGCGTTTAGCAGAGAGCTGCGCGCTGCTTGGCCACTCGGGGGCGGTCGGGCCGCTCTTTGCTGTTGACCTGGAAGTGTGACTGTGGGTCTCTGTCCGTCAGTGGCTGCGGCAAATGTGAAATGCAGAGTTAAGTCTCATGGAGCAGCAATGCCTGGTTTCCGGGGGAGGGTCCAGCTCAGCGGTGGAGCGCACGCTGGGCACGCGAAAGGTCCCGGGCTCAATCCCCAGAGCCTCCTCCAGTAATGGACAAATACATAAACCCAGTTACCTCCCAACTCAACAAAAAATAAATTTTTAAATTTTTTAAAAATAAAATGGCATTTTATGGTTCAAAGCTGACATACGTTAAAGATGGACAAATTTGGAGAGAAAGAAAGGACGCTTAGTCTCCTGGTGTTGGCAGACACGCTGGTTTCAGAAACAGATACTGGAAACTCAGACCTTCTTCATAAGGCCCGTGAGGCACTGGCCAAGGACGCCACATCTTTCCTGCTCAGAGGGCGTCCATCCGTCCCTCCCTCCCCCCCTCCTTCGTGCCGGTCAGTGCCAGGCTTGGGGCTCCCTGATGGACGCCTCACAGTAGAAGACGCTGATCTCCGGGTGTCCTTTGAATTAAGAACCCTCGACCATGTGGAAGCCCTGTGGGCCGGGCACGTGTGTGTGGCCCTCCGCCCGCCTGGTGTGCCGCCCTCAGCTCTGCCCCTGGTGCCCACAGACCACACATCGGTGCCCGCGGAGCGGACTCAGGTGTAGCTGTGACAACCGGCCGGGGGTCCTCCAACACGCGCCCGCCCTGACGTTTGTGAGGAAGGTGGGGCCCAGCTCGGTCCTCCGGGGAGCAGAACGGTCACCCGCTGTCTTGTGTTTCAGATCCATGAACGTCTTCCTCATCGTGTACCTCTGCATCCTGATCAGCAAAGCGCTGATAAACACTGTCCTGAAGTACGTCTGGCAGAGCGATCCGTTCCGAGACGAGCCGTGGTACAATCAGAAGACAGAGTCAGAGAGACAGAGGAACCTGGTATGAAAGGTGGCTCCCTTCGGTGGGCCGCTGGGAGGGAGGCGGGGGCTGCAGCGAAGCCTTGGTATGTGAAGTCTTCATAGGAGACGCAGTCACTGATGGTGGCAGTGTCGCAGCCCCCCGGCTGGGACACGGGTCACTCCGCCCCCTGTGGGAGTTTGAATATCCAGGGCTGGAGAGGTGCCGGTTGGTGCTGTAGATCCATAAGGACGCACGTTGAACATCGGTGCTTCCAGAGCCCAGTGCGGCGGCTCGTCCAGTAGACACGTACTAGTGACCGTGACGTACGTGGTCCCTGCTCACGGTGACACCGGGAGGAGGCAACCCTCAGTGACGGGAAACTAGTAACAATGAGTTTGTTTTCACTTCTGGGATTTAAGCTCCGTTGCTCGTGTTTGTCAGAAGTGTCTCCCCGAAACCAGCGTGTTACGGGGACTCGGTTAACCCTCCCCTGCTGAGAACAGTGGCTCTCTGGCCGGGCCTGCCGCGCCACCCGAGCCATGTGCCGGGCCCGACCTGGGCCCCCTTCTGCCTGTGTTCAGTCTGGCCCTAGACTAAATGGCTAGAAACAGGGACGGCACTGCTCAGAAAAGTCATCTGTACAGACCCTCGCGTTTGGTCACTTATCAGAGACTCAGGGGGAACCTGGATTCATCCCAGTGTACAGTGTCCCGGGCTCTGGGCTGGAGAGGCCCCCACCTCCAACAGTGTGACTCACAGGTGACCTGACCGCCACCGGCGGCGCTCCTGTCCCCGGTCGACCACGGCGCCCAGATCCGGGGCCGACGAGAAAGCCGGCAGTCAGCGCTGCCCTACGTGGTCTTTATCTTTGGGTTCAAAGCCGTAGTGTTTAAGAACGGCACCTGTGGTTGGATGGTTTGAAGCCACGCGGCGCCAGCGGGCGGGGCACTCAGCCGCGTCTCTCAGTTCCTCAGGGCCTTCACTGACTTCCTGGCCTTCATGGTGCTCTTCAACTACATCATCCCTGTGTCCATGTACGTCACCGTGGAGATGCAGAAGTTCCTGGGCTCCTACTTCATCGCCTGGGACGAGGAGATGTTCGACGAAGAGATGGGGGAGGGGCCCCTGGTCAACACCTCGGATCTGAACGAAGAGTTGGGGCAGGTCAGCGGGGGGCCCCGAGCAGGAGGCCAGCAAGATGCGCAGCGCAGGACTCACCCGGGGCCCGCGGGTCGCCAACTGCCGGTGGGGGCACCCCACTCCCCCTCCTCACAATGGCCCCACAGGGTCCAGGGTCCCCATCTTCCTTCAGTTCATCTGAATTCAAGGTGTAAAATTAGGTGTAGTTTTAACACTTTCCACAGTTTTGTCTGAAATTTGTTTTGTCCTTCAGTTTGTTTGAATTCTGTTTTCCAAACTTTAAGCGATATTGAGAGTTTGGGCCTCCCAGACCTTCGGAATAAGCCCATCACACTCACATCCTTGATTTTTTGGTTAAATTGGACCCAGGACCTCCCCAGACCCGCCTAGTCCTTCCGTCAGATGGAAGGCTGGCTCCGCCAGGGGCGTGTGGCCTTCCTCCTGCTCCCTGTCCGGAGAAGAGCGAAGCCGCCTCCTGTGACAGCAGAGGCCACCCCCCCGCCCCGCCCGGCTCTGTCCCCACGCTCCGCCACCAGCGCTGGGGGAAGGACCGCCCCGAGTGCTCACAGTCCAGCCTGGGAAGCTGCACTTGGGGTGGGAGCTGTGGGAGTCCGGGTGGTCCAGAGACCACGGCTGTCAGGGGTCCGAGGCCCTCTGAGAGGCGGCACCTCCCAGCCGAGCCACGTCCACAGGTGGAGTACATCTTCACGGACAAGACCGGCACCCTCACCGAAAACAACATGGAGTTCAAGGAGTGCTGCGTGGGGGGCCACGTGTACGTGCCGCACGCCGTCTGCAACGGGCAGGTGCTCCCCGACACCTCAGCCATCGACATGATCGATGCCTCCCCGGGCGCCAGCGGGCGGGTAGGTGGTCGTGCCCTGGCAGTGCCACCCTGCCCCTGGGGCCCAGGTCACGGGGTAGACAGGGGCACCTCCTGTCCTGGGATCTGGGACACACACGACCCCTTGGTGACTCGTGGGAGGAGGGCTGTCAGGGGCCACATCTGCACAGGCATCTCTGGGTGAATCCACTGGTCACATCAGAGCGGATGGTGGGCTGCGTAGAGGGACCCTCCAGACCGCGTGTACTCACAGTCACACACACACAGACACGCACACACACACGCACACACACATACAGACACGCACAGACACGCACGCACACACACAGAGACATGCACGCACACACA